TGCATTTTTTAAGAAGATTTTTCAGTGAAGATTCACTGTGGCTGTCGTTATCTTCCAATGTATATTGACGCTGTACAATGGTGATATCTGTATCCAGGCTTTTTGCTCTTACAATACCGTCATAATCCTCGTTTCAAAGTCAAAGTACAGAAAATTGGTCATCAAAAAGTCGTCAAACAGAAGACCCTGTTCCAGCACTCAGTAGTTCTGCTAAAACTAAAAATTTTATTTTTTTGTCATACTACCAAACTGATACAGCAGTAGTTCTTCAAATTCCTTCTGTCTCGTTTTGCTGACACAATTTTAGAAAACGATGAATAAAGTGGTGGTGATGCCGCTGTATTATTCTTGTTGTTGCTGCTGCTGCTGACCTACGCCATTGCTATTTGTCGCTGGTGCTGTCGTTGTCGTTGGATGCTTCTGTAGAATACAGTGCCGATCAGAAGTTCCGTTGAGCTACTTAAGTATAAAAAAGAAAAAAAAAAGAGTCAAAAAAGAAAAAAAAACTTAGAATACAAAAATCTGTTTTAGTCAGTAGCAATAAAATGTCTGAAAGTTGAGGTTTAACTTCTAAACTACAGATAAAATTGGAAAATCTTTGGTTTTACTCAACTCTCAAATCTTCTTTTTGTATTTTCTGTATTTGTTTAAAAAATTTATCAATATTTTAATTAAGCTGCAGAAATAATTTCACGAGGAAGAGATTAGTGAATAAAACCGAAGATGCGATTATACCCTCACATAGCAGCAAATAAGATGTCTTTTCACCATCATTACCATTACCACCTCATCCCTCTGCTCATACCTCTTTGTTTACGTCTTCTCATTTTTCGTCATACTTTTTTTGTCTTTTATATAATAACAAGCCAATAGACCATTATTCGGTTAAGCTGAACACAACAACAAATATTCCGACAAAAGCAATCAATGTTTGTTTTGTTCGAAAAAAGCGGTAATCAAACGCTAAAAGTTGACTAAAGATGATGCCGAAGTGAATGCAGAGTGTTGAAGAGAGTAGGGACCGAGAGAGGGCTAATTTTTACAACAAAAACTAAGATACTTTGAAAGTTTTTGTGGGAAGTTTCAAACCTTAAAGACCACCGCAATTATTTTGCGATTGTTTGTTTAACAAAGTTGGACCAAAATGACTGTTGTTGTAAAATCAAAAAGTTTCCATTTTTGTATTATACTATTGATGTGTAAAACACTGTGTATGGCGATACAATTTAAAATAAACATTTTTAAGCTGCCCTTTTTTTCCTTTATAAATGTTAGACAGTAATAATAAAAGTAAAAATACAAGGACTAATAGTCGTTATTAAAATGGAGAAAGAAAAAATTACATGTAAATTTTATTTACCAAACAGCAAAAGTCGTAGAAATATTTATCGAATACAAAATTACTTAACAGCACCAATAAATTGACATCGTAAGATTTAATTTACTGTCACCGTTTCCTTCATCTATGAATTTTTTTTTACTTTTATTCCATTCTTATCATCGCAGTTCCCTTTCGTCGCCAACATCATCTTCATAGTCAATGATGTTGTCACTCATTGTTCTTCTACTTTAATTTTGATTCACAAATAGCATATGCCCAAAAGTAACGAGAGCAACAACAATAACACTCATTTTTTCAGTTTTTATTAAAATTTTAAATGTTTTATTAAAATAAAATCAAACCTATGTTGTATAGAATCAAGATGGTATACAAATCAAAAAAAAAAAAAATAAAATAACGAAAAAAAGTAAAAAAAAGAATAAAAAAAGAATTCTTAAGCATAAAAGAAGCAATAAAAAAAGGATAAGAAGATCAAGTGAACAGCAGCGTTACTGAAACCCGTTACTGAAACTTAAATAAAATATTTTTAAGTTCTTTTCTACAACACTTTTTTTTAAAATAATAAACTATCAGCACTGAATTGTTATTTTCAGAGGTGAAATCAAAAGAATAGAACCTGAAAAAAGAAATAAAACGACAGAAGCACCAAAAAGTAATAAATGTTCGTGATCAAATTGGTCAAGCCGGTAAAACACTTCAACCTTTCAGTTTATTATTAGCCAACTTTATTTTTCGTGGCTGTTTTTGAAGCAGCATGACGTATACCAGACTGGTTGCTGGCGAAACCGTCAAGTTAATTTAAGGTTTAATAGAACAGGAGTAATCGTAAAGATGACAGACTCAGCTTGAATTATTTGCTAATGTCATTTATCAAACATATGTGTAGAACTGATTCAATTTTTTCATAGATATTTAATATCTAAGCTTTAAACTATGATCACTTTTGCTGATACTGCTGCATCTTTATTGGGTGTTATTGAATGAATAAGGAATTTTAAAGTTATTTTAAAAAAAGCATAAAAAGTAGTAGTAAAACACTAGAAAAGAAAAAAGAAAATGGTCTTGTAATATTCAAGTCGAAAACCTTTTTTCTGACTTTATTCAGGCCTAGTGAAGAAAGTATCTTTGATTCACCAAAAGTTCCTAGTAGTCGTACAAATACATTAAAAAAAATTAAAACAAAAGAATTATTCTTTTTTGTTGCATATTTTCAGCTATTTCTCAGAATTTATATCTATTGTTGATTTCGCTAGAAATTACTGTTGCTGTTGTTGCTGTAACCTCCTTTCATTTTTGAACAAATTGAATTGATTTATGCAGAAACTATCTTGATTAAACAAATTCAGGTGACAGCTGCTGTTTCAGTTTATAGCTTTTATTCTGTACCGTTTAATCAACGTCTATGTATCTAATATTTGACAGTTATGCAACAGTTAAATTAAAAGAATCATATATAATGAAAAAAAAACTGTCAGAAAACCTGCACGTGTTATGTCTTCTTTACTAGACAAATGCAAAAACAATGAAGTGTACTAGCAGAAGCTGTTGTTGCTGCTGTTGTAAGAAAACAAGACGGAAGAAGTGGTGATGATGATGATGATGATGGTAATGATGAATTTTTGAGTGGAAGATATATATTTTTGTAAACATAGTGACCATTGAATGCATCGTATGTTTTCATATGATGTTTGAAAAACGAACGACACGGTAAAATGCTTTTGCATATACCTGTTTATCGTTGGATCGCTACAGCCATTGACAATTTGGGGGTACAAATACCGATTGACAGTGTTGCTAAAGTAATCGAAGAAAATTTTTTGAAGCGGTTTGAGTAAATTTTTAATCGAGCATACAAAGATTACTTCCGCGGTTGCGGATCGTCAAAGATTTTGTTGACCATTAGTTATTGATCTAGAAAACGACTGGTCCTACCATGCTAACACTATAAAAACAACCTTAACCAGGTCGAAGAAGCTTACATAACTTTTGTCTTCACCACTTCTGTTTTCAATAGTCATCATACTTCAATTTAACTAGAACTTTTGAATTTTTCTTTTAATCTATTTTATTTTATTTTTTTCTATTTTCCCCTCTCTCTTGGTCATCTGTTCTTCTTCTGTCAAAAAATTCAATCAGTTTGACATCGACTTGACGGTAGTTGTAGTGTGTTATCGCTGTTGTTGTTGATATTGATATTCTTGCTGCAGTTTTTGTGGCGTATAGCCGTTATTCAATTACTAGAAAAAAAAATTTGTTGGTCATTCTCTTCTTTTTCTTCTAAGTTTTTTTCTTATTTATAAAGACACTTATGCATTTCTTCCAGACGTTTGAATGTTATTGATTCTGAATTAATTGTACGGCTTTTTATGTTCTTATAGTTGCTGACTGTGGTGGTTGGTGGTAGTGATGGTGATGACAATAACGATGATAGAAGATCTTCCCTTTTATGTCACTACTGACTTTTTACAGCGCCAACCACAACAATGATATGTTCTGGTGTCAAATCCATCATTTGTTCCCTCAGATCAACAAAATTTTGTCACCATACTTTGTTGCTTTTTTGACAACTTCGATATGACGCAATTTTCGATATAAAAAGCATCCAGAAATTGCATTTCTCGGTAGTCATCTTTTTTAAAGTTTCTCTGTAATTGCTCAATTAGCTATCTTTGGTTTCAGCCATTTCTAGTCCTACAAATGACTTTTGGTACTGTCCGCTTATTTAAAATGATTCAAATTTTGTGTTTCAGAAAAGCAATTCTTTTTTCTTGCTATTTTTGCTATTTTGATTTCTAAATTTTTTTTTTTTGAAGTTGGGCATGGCCGAAAACAACAGTTCCTTTCAAACCGGCTAATTTTAATGCACACATTTTATAAAGTTTGTGAAGTACCAAAGTATACTAAATTAATGGCCGGACATTTCAGAAAACTAAGCCAGTAATTATTTCAATTTTCAAGTACTGCCGTTGATTCTATGTAATTTTTGGTCTAAAACGCATATTGCATCATTAGACGTTTGTTGGATTTGTCGCCTGTCAAGTTCGGCCACAGTTTATCTAAGCCGAACTTATGGTGAAGCCTGTAATATTAGTTCTATCGTTCTCTAAGCCTTACAAATGTTAAACTTTTTTAGCTGTCTTTTCGTCTAATGGAAATGATTTCTAAGAATAAAAACTAATTGCTGTCTTAATTAATGACCGCCCTTTTTTTCTGCTTACATTAATTTGTTGTTTTGAAAATTTTTTAAAACCGCGACTTAAAAACAATTTTTACGTTTTGTACATATTCGTACATGATCAGAAATCTTTATTAAATTTTAAAAAAGCGATTAAATTATATAATTCTACGCTTTTTTAACAGTAAAGATTAGCGTTAATTTAGCTGTAGTTGCGATTTTATATCTGAAGACTACTTGGAAGAGATTTTTTTTTTTGGAAATTACGACATTTTTTGCGAGAAAAAAGTTAATGTTTTTCCTGTGTTCAATTAATAGTTGAAAAAATATAATTTTTAGAAGCGATGCTGCGGCAGTTAATTTCACTAACATTTTTGGGTCTAGTAGCATCGCAGTTTTATTATATCCCTGTGGTGCAACAGAAGCCAATACCAGGTATAGGGGGTTATGCGATTAGGACAAATTGCTTTAACCGCTGTAACAATCAGAATCGGTATCGATGGAACTTTAAGCAAACAGGTTCGTTTGCAATAATTATCTTCTGTTTCTTGCTACTCACAATTTTATTTTATTTTTATTTTTTTGTACAACATAACTTACTTCATATATTTTACTAGTAAATATCCTGAAGTTCAGGTTTATCCCGTCCACTGATATCGATCACATTATCCACCCCGACACCGCTTAATATTTTCACCAAACTGATAACTTTACCACCAATTACGACCCCACCATCATCTGCAGCATCTGCTGAAACAACCACAACAACAACAGCCACAACGACTACTGCAACTACGACTACGACCACGACAACACCAACTCCAGCAACGACTACGACTACTCCTCCACCTATGGAAACGACTACACTGCCAACATCTGAACCAGAATTCAGTTCTCCAATACCGCCACTGACAGCCCCACTGTCATGGTTTATGAGACCTATGAAAAAACTTACTCATGAAATCGAAGCAAATCGTGGGCAAAGTATTATCTGAAAATTTAATGAATTTCACTAATTTATTTTTATTAACCTAATTTCTAATTTTTTTTTTTT